GATATTTTAGTCCAGCCGGGAGTATCTTCTCTCAGGTAGACTCCCAGGATCTCATAGGAGCAGTTTGCATCCAGTTTCATCCCACTCTAGACTTCCATTTTCTGTTGTGGCCCTTTAAGAAACAGTTACTCTTCATAGGAGTAGCTTTCTCAAAGAATTTAAACTGCTGCTCTATGGAGATTTACGTGTTTATGTGAAATATATACTTTACACATAAATATTTCATTGAACTGCATTTTCACTGTTTTGCTTTTTAATTCCATTCTCTAGTTAAATCTTTCAACAGGTCATTTGAGGCTAAGATTGTCTTCGCACCTGAAAACTTGTCTTTCCTGAACAATTTTCCCACATGTTCTCTTCTGTCCTAAGGGATGAATGTTAGTTGTCTTAAGGAATGTTCATTATGCCTACAAGAACTAGAGTCTGAGTGTTTAATAAATGTTCAAGACTTCTCAGGTTTTTTTTTTTTCAAATGGAAACAGGAGTTTGTATTCTCCCCCTTCAGTGGCTTTTGCTGTAAATCTTCCTGTTCCCACATTTAATGTCCCCTCTTGTCCTTAATGACATAATCATTTACATGTGTTACCTAATACAAGTAAAGAGACTCAACGTGGCTATGACTTGAGAGAGCAGAGCTTCCTGATTTAGAATCTTAAATGCAGAAAACCACAATTTGCTGAGGACTCGCTAGAGGAAGTAGCCATTATTTTAAAACCTCAGCTGGGTTTGATTTATAGTACATGGCTACTGGAAACTCATTTTGTATTTGTGTCTTTTCTTTCCATGACCCCGGAATGTAGCTGAAACTTATACAACATTCAAGTGTCAACACAGAGTTAATAAAACGATTATTGGGGAGGCATGCTGTAGGCTCTTTATTGAGGGGATGCTGTAGGCTCCTTATTGAGGGGATGCTGTAGGCTCCTTATTGAGGGGATGCTGTAGGCTCCTTATTGGTAGACACACTAGTTACAGTCTCTTAGCATCCTGCCTGATTCCATCACAGTTATATAGAAGAACCTCAGACTAGGTTACTCCAATAGACGTTTAATTAGTCTGTCCTAGACTAGCTTGAACTGTTACATTCTTGGTAACACATTCATGATGGTCATGTCCATCATCATCTCTGATTTTGCAAGCTGTAATTGCTCTGTATCCTGCTTGCCCTATAGACAACTCTCAGGTCACTTACCACATTTCTCTGTGTCTTTACTATGATCTATCTGTCCTGGCCTCTCCTGAACTTGTGGAAAAACACATTTTATTTTTATTCATTTATCACTTAACACAGGGCTTAGTAGATGTTTGTTTGTTTGTTTGTTTGTTTTGTTTTTGAGACAGGATAGTCCTGCAGAGTCTTGGCCATCCTGATCACTATATATATCAGGCTGGCCCCAACTCAGAAATGCCTCTGTTGGAATTAAAGACATGCATCAAGGATTTAATAATTTTTAATTGAACTGGCAAACATTTTTTATTATCTTGATTATACTGGTTAACTTATAGTCCTGAAATATCAAATGCTCAGCCCTGTAATAGTTCCCTACCACCTTCTAACAAGGACCAAATTGATAATACCACCATTAATTGCATACCAGCCCTGAGTCAGATATATTTATTATTTTTTATTACAGTTCTCCATTTAATTCCACATTACCATTTTTATTAATTATACTTTTATTAACTTTATTTAATTTTATATACAATAACATTGATAACAGTGTATGTATTTACAAGAGTGTATAGTAAAAAAGGTGAGGATTTGTCAAAAAGGAAGACTAGAAAAGTTAATAAATAAAGGGAAATATACCTCAGTTGTCTATCTTTTTCTTACAAGTCAAAATTCAGGTAATGGGAGAAAGAACACAATTATCTTGTTGTCTTGCACAGTGATTTCTGTTTGTCTTTGTGACTTTCCCAAAGAAAAAGAAGGTAATGTGTAAATGCTTATGAATTTCTTAAAAGTGGAATTAGCATCAAGTTCCCTTAAACAATAGAGTATTGAGTTTTAATTTAAAGCTCTGTTGAGAAATAGTATCAACTAGTTACAGCCCAAGAGCCAAGTTGAAAAGAACAAAGGTATTACAGACTTATCACATCTGGAGTGACCAAAACAAAGAAGTCTGGGCTTTCTCACCACGGGAAAACAACTCAGAAGGCCCTAAGGAGAAGGAGTCGGGGTGAGACTTTGAATGCACTCCAGTCTAAGCTCTACCATTTATCTTAATTTTACTAAGAATTAATTTTTCTCAAAATGGGGGGGGGATAGTTTTAAACATCATAAGATTCTTGTGAAAATTGACTGAAGAAAGCAGTACACGTGTGATTTATCTGTCTTGGTATGTGTCACACAACCAAGTGACTCTTAACTGGATTGAGTGTTGATTCTACCCTATAAATTGTCACGAGGATTAAGTGGAAAAGTGAACAGAAAGCAATTTTAATGGCCAGCTCATGGAAAATACACAATAGGTACTACTTATGATACCAACATAAGTCATATTAAAGAGGTTTGTTCATTTGTTCTCTCCCTCTCTTCCTTCCTTCTTTCCTTCCTTCCTTCCTTCCTTCCTTCCTTCCTTCCTTCCTTCCTTTCATTCATTCTTTTTCTTTTTAAAAAATATCTTCAGAGAAACAAGTTGCTGAACTTGATTCTGTGGATGTAGATTTAAAAAGACACTAAAAAGCTAGAGGCATAGGAACCTGGATGTTGAAGGGCTTCCTTTCCGTTTCATCAAAAGAAGGGCCCACTGTTATCCTCAGAAGGCCAGAACCGTCTCTTTCTATGCTACTGGCTGCCAGCGTTTTGGTGAACTATAAAATCTCTGAGTAGATAAATAAATCCATTGAGTTTTATTTTAACTATACTCAGACAATAGTGACTTGAATGTTTTAATGTGCACCCTGATTATACCTCAAATTTAAAAACTTTCAAGTATCTATAGACACACTTTTGATTATTTAACTTGATGTTAAACTGTTCCCGTTCCCTTAGTAACAATGGCGGACTTGGCTGAAGACTGGTTGGTTTTGATTTAGCTTGTTTGGTTTTGTTCCCCTTGCTTTACTGATGCACTGAACATTTGAGAACTACTCGTGCATCTCAAACATTCGTGCAAGGCATTTGATCTGAAGGGGAAATAGCTCCTGTTGAAATTAATTAACTGAGATATGGGAAAACCTATAATATAGAGAAGTGTAAAAAGAACGAAGCAGAAGGGAAGAGACAGAGGTAGAAACTGAGAGAGAAGTTCGTCTCATCTGGTTGTAACCACGGTGAGATAATCAGGCTGTGTGGTCAGTTGTATAAAAGGGAAGCATATGGAATCATGCACAGTGCATGAAATGTAATAATATACTAGGTACTATCAATAAGCCCAGTGTTAC